AGAGTTATGCAGTCATCATTACAATCAATTTTAGAACATTTTCATCATGTTCTAAAACAAACCCCATATCATTTAGCCATATTCACTAGTTTTCTGTTCCTCCCTCAGCCCTAGGGAACCACCCACCTTCTTTGTATAGATTTGCCTATAAGCCTCTGAAATAAAAAGCAAGTGGTCTACTGTGACTGGCTTATTTCACTCAGCATAATTTTTCATGATGTATCTGTGCTATAGCAGGTATTGATGCAGGGTTTTTGCTCCTTAGTTCAGCTAAATCTGGGTTCTTCTCTCATGACCAGGAAAAATTAGGCATGTGGACACACTGAAGGGTGAGGAGGACAGAATTTATTAAGTGAAAGCTCTCAGCAAAGAGAAGGGTCCTGCAATCAGATTTCCACCTCACAATTGAATACCAGGACCAGCACACATGAGCTGAAAAGGCCAGGCTCCTCCTCTGCATAAGGCATGAATTCCTGGTGGCTCCACCCCAACCCCCCAGTGTATGTGGGCCTCTGGTCCGCTGCTGGCATGTCCAGGCAAAACCCTGTGCAGGTTCCCTTATCTACACCAGATGTTTTGTCCGGTGTAGACACTTGTGGGCCCGGTTGGAGATTCTCCTGAGTAATATTCCATTGTATGGATAAATCAAACATTTTATGTATCCATTCATGAGGTGATGGACCTTGGGTTCTTTCCACTTTTTGACTCTTATTAATAATGCTGCTGTAAACATTTATGTATAAGTTTTTGTGCTTATATATGTTTTTATTTTTCTGGACCATATACTTATGACTCGAATTTCTGAGTCATATGGTAACTTCTTGCTTAACCTTTTAAGGAGCTGCCAGTTTGTTTTCCAAAGTGGCCGCACCCCTTTACCTTCCCAGCAGCATTGGATAAGGGTTTTAATTTCTTTGCATTTTTCCTAACACTTATTTTCTCTTTTTTATTGAACGAAGGTTTCATCCTGTGGTGTGAAGTGATACCACCAGGTGGTTTTGATTTTCATTTTCCTAATGACTAATTACGTTAAACATCTATTAATGTGCTTATCATCCATCTTTATGTCTTCTTTGCAGAAATATCTATTCAAAATCTTTGCCCATTTTTTAAATTGAGTTATCTTGTTATTTACGAATTGCAAGCATTTTTTATATATCCTATATATGTAAGTCCCTTATCAGATATATGCTTTTCAAATACTTTCTTCTACTCAGTGTCTTACGTTTTCACTTCTTGATACTATCTTCTCAGGCACAGCGGTTTTCAATTTTGAAGTCCATTGAATCCATTTTTCCTTTGGAGTCATAGCTAAGAAAATACTGCGAAATGCAGTCACAAAGATTTATATCAATATTTTCTTCTGAGAGTTTTATAGTTTTAGCTGTTACAGTTAACAGTTTTATTTTGGGTTAATTTTTAAATATGGTATTTGGTGAGAATCCAACTTTACATATATATTTTTTTCACATGCATACCCAGTTGTTCCAACACCATTTGTTGAAAACTATTCTTTTCCCATTCTATTTTTTTTGTTAACCTTGTATAAAATCAATTGACTGTAAATGTGCAAGTTTATTTTTAGATTATCAATTCTTAGCTTGTTTATGTCTATTCTTAAACCAGGACCAAATCGAATTTAATGAGAAGATTTTTTCCAAGCATGTTGCATGTTACCAGTTGTCTTATATCATAATAAAAGCTAAATGTAGTGGAATATTTACTTCACCTTTTGTGTCTTAAAGAAGTCTGTGGCCAGCTTATACCTTACTTACTCTAAGACATGATGGCAAGTCAGGCTTACAAGACACACTTTATTTCTTTTTTTCTTCATTCAAACCTTCAGTCTCTTATCCAGTGCCTCCCTCTATAGTTTCATTTTCAGTAAATTTTGGTCACAGGATCTGCTGACATAGTCTA